ATGTTTTATTCCATGTTTCCCAGCCTGTCTGTCTGAAACCTGCACAGACATGCTGGGACGGCATGTCTGTGCAATATTTGAATACTAGTGATTAAGGAACTGACCTCCCAGCCCATTGTTCCTTCAGTGGGCTGGTTTCAGTCATTATGCAAAGGTACTGTTTATAAGGTTGAAACCTGCAGTCAGCTGAGACTGAAGACGTCACTTGGATGAGTGACGAAACACTTCTCTCACAAAACGCTACGTCCAGATGAACAGAATCAACTTTTTGGGATAATCTGAAAATACTGTGTTATTTCCACTCTTACGTGGATGATACACAGCTGTATGTTGCACTAATTGCAGCAACACAAATGTATTCTGAATCTGTTGCTCTGATGTAAAACGCTTTGATCAGTTTAGTGATTTCAGATCTGGATTCCTCTCAGTCACTCCCAAACCTTTAATTGTAAAAAGACTTGAAAATCTGTCCTCCGACATCAGGACTTCCACTCACAGTCTATTTGTGCTGTTTGACCCTGACTTTTTTTTTTTTGGACTCACAGATCACATCAGTCACACATTCTCATCTGTGTCTCAATGTGTCTAAACTTGATCTTTACTTTAAAGTGACTCATGGAGTCTCTGTCTGTGTGTCCTCAGTTTCCCAGCATGCCTCAGCTGTGGAATCATATGAGGGGGCATCATTTGTAGTGCTGCCCTGTAAGTTTGACACTTTCAACCTAAGAAATGCCTCAGTGGTGTGGAGTCGCTCCGACCTCAGTCCTCCAACCGTCCACCAGCGTCAGCTTCAAGGGGACGAACTGAAAGATCAAAACCAGCGTTACAGCGGCCGAACATCCATGAAGACTGACGCTCTGGAAACTGGAGACCTCAGCCTGAACCTGACCAACCTCCAACTGTCTGACAGCGCCACCTACACCTGCTCCATCAGAGACTTTGGACGTGAACTCAGTTGGAGTGATGTACAGCTGCAGGTCAAAGGTGCTGCAGGTCAGCAACAAACACCTGTTGTAGACACATCATACATCATTCAGATAAAACTTATCAGAGCAATCATATTGGCTCCTTGATTGAAATGTAGGCCTATTAGGTCAGTCAGAGGTCAAAGGTCATGCTGTTCTTTTTGTTTCCCCACAGAACAGTTTCCATCCTGGGCCACAGCTCTCCTGGTTCTTCTGTTTCTTCTTGTGGTTTCTGGAGGTCTTCTATTTTATTTCCGGCACTATTTCATGTCAGGTGAGTGTCTCCTCCTACACTACCCATAATGCCGATGGTCAGCAGGTGTCCTCTGGTGGCTCCTTGACTGCGGCTCACACAAACTTGTTCCAGAAGCTGAAAGAGTTGAGAGTTACAAACAGCTGATACAGAGAGCTGAAGAGAAACTTCCAGGTTTGTTCCAGAAGTCAGAAAACCTCCTTCAGACTCAGTCATTGATCAGTGAAACAGCTCCACAACATGACTTTACTAAACAGTGTGTGTGCTTCACTGCATTGATCTGACACAGAGGCTGCATGTGGACAAGCTGTTCTTTCATTATCTGCAATTTAACCAGTTTTACTTTTTACCAAAAGTTTCACTGCGATTGGTCATGAGTTAACAGAGGTTACAAAAAAAACAAACTAATACTCGAGAACACAGACGTGAATAATATGTAATAACTTTACAATACAATCACGATCGTGGCTCACGAGGTTGCAGTTCATCTTGTAATCGGAAGGTTGCCGATTCGAGCCCCCGACAGTCTTAGCCATTGTGTCCAAGACACTTCACCTACTGGTGGTGGTCAGAGGGCCCGGTGGCGCCAGTGTCCGGCAGCCTCTGTCAGTGCGCCCCAGGGTGGCTGTGGCTACAATGTAGCTGCCATCACCAGTGTGTGAATGTGTGTGTGAATGGGTGAATGATTGGTTGTCTAAAGCGCTTTGGGGTCCTTAGAGACTAGAAAAGCGCTATACAAATGCAGGCCATTTACCATTTACAATGCAATGTACACCAGCTCACTGTAATCCAATAAAGGTTAAAAAAAAAACAATGTTAAAGAGACCTCCATGATAAGATTTTATTATACATTTATTTTATTATACTGTCATTAATATTTATTATTTTCACACAGTGGTCACTGACATCTAATATGTGTGTGTTGGTTATAGTTATATAAAGGTTCAGGATCAATGTGATGAATTTAGAAGCAGAAAAATAAAAAAAATAAAAATCAAATGCATAGCATATGCATGGTAATCAAATAAATGTATGAATAATTTTTGTGTGTGAAGGAAACTCCTCATTTACATGAACAAACTGGAATCTATCAGATATTATTCAAACCACTGCAGTGAATTTCCTTTAATAACTGTGGTGTGTTCTAGTGTTTGTAGTAAAATGTTGTGGTCTACACTGAGGTCTAACAGGACAAGCACAGGAATAAGTCCTCTGTAAAGTAAAGTAAAGTAAAATAAAGTAAAGTAAAGTAAAGTAAAATTTTATTTATATAGCACCTTTCAAGATAAAATCACAAAGTGCTTTACAGAGGCAGAAAACAGACATTAAAATCTAAAACAAAACAAAATCAACCAAAAGCGAGTTTAAACAGATACGTTCTTAACTGCTTTTTAAAAGACATGACTGAGTCCACAGATCCCAAACTCAAAGGGAGCGAATTCCAGAGTCTGGGAGCCACTGATACAAACGCTCTGTCACCTTCTGTTTTTAACCTTGTATGCGGGACAGCCAGCAACCCCTGGTCACAAGACCTCAGGGACCTGCTGGGGTGATAGGAAAGAAGAAGATCACTTAAGTAAGTTGGAGCTACACCGTGCAGGGCCCTATAACTCATGATTATGATCTTAAATTGGACCCTGAACTTGACAGGGAGCCAATGCATCTAAATCAGCAGGGGAGTGGCATGGGAGTATTTGTGATGCTTTGTCAGAAGCCTGGCAGCAGCATTCTGAACACCCTGCAGTCGTTCCAGGGAGGCATTACTTAAGCAAGTAAACAAGGAATTACAATAATCTAAGCGAGATGAAACAAAAGCATGAATAATCATTTCCAATTTGGAACGTGACACAATGGGACTCAGCTTAGCGATATTTCTTAAATGGTAAAAACAAGAGCGAACCAAATATTTAACGTGTGTTTCCAGCGTCAGAGCTGGATCAAATGTAACACCAAGGTTCCTAATGGATGATTTAATATAAGAAGCAAGAGGGCCTAGATTTTTAACCACGAGGGGAACAAATTTCTCAGGAGCAAAGACAATGACTTCCGTTTTATTAGCATTTAGTTGAAGGTAATTACCAGCCAGCCAATCTCTAACGGAGTCTAAGCAGGACTGCAAGATTTGGAGCTTAGAAACATCAGGTGGCCTAGAAGAGATATATAGCTGAATATCATCTGCATAACAATGATATGAAATATCAGAGAAACAGCTGAGAAGTTGCAGAAGAGGGAGTAAATACAACAAAAACAATAATGGTCCCAAGACAGAGCCCTGAGGCACCCCATAGGCAAGAGAGCTGGCGGAGGATCTGAACTTAGAGGTAGCCACAAAGAAAGATCGATTTGACAAATTGGATTTAAACCACTCCAATGCGGTACCCGATACACCCACCCAGTGGTTTAATCTATCTAACAAAATAAGATGATCAACAGTGTCAAAAGCAGAGGTCAGATCCAGCAACATCAACACAGTGCACTCTCCAGCATCATAATTCATCAAAATATCATTAGACACTCTAAGAAGTGCAGTTTCGGTAGAGTGAGCCAGACGAAAGCCAGATTGAAATTTATTAAGAACGTTGTGTTCATCTAGAAAATCCATGAGTTGCTTGGCCACAACCTTTTCTAAAATCTTGGCAATAAAAGGCAATTTTGAGATGGGTCTGTAACTGGAAAGCAAAGAAGGATCTAGTTTAGTTTTTTTTTAAAGTGGGTGAATGGCAGCACTTTTACAGTAAACAGGGACCTGACAAGAGAGTAGAGATGCATTAATAATTTTAAGAACACTAGGACCAATAGACTCAAAAACATTTTTAAGTAAAGATCCAGTTAAAATATCAAGGGGGCAAGAGGATGGTCTCATTGAAGTAACCAGCTTCAACAACTCAGGCAAAGACACTGGTGAAAATCTTTCAAATCTGACAGGCTTAAGTAAAATCCGAACAGGCAAATGGTACATGGAGGGAGAGATTTTGCTCCTTACATTGCTAACCTTTTAAGGAAACAACAAACAACAACAACAAAGAAGGAAAGAAAATTATCACAGTCTTCATTCGAAGAAATAGCGACAGCAGCAGAAACCGGAGCAACAATATCCCTAATTGTGTCAAATAGAACCTTAGGGTTACCTCTCCTCCTAGAGACTAGGTTTGAAAAATAAGCAGCCCTTGCATCACGAACTGAAGCGTTAAAAGAAACTAAAAGGTCTTTTAAATAAAAGAGATGAACCTGTAAACGAGTCTTTCTCCACAAACGCTCAGCTTTACGACAGACACGCTTTAAACAGCGAATGCTGTCGTAACAGGTCATAAGGAGAACATTAGTAACCTTTACTACAGCTCATGTTGTGCTTTGTTGTCCTCTCAGTCCCCTGGGTGGGGGTGGATTCAGGGGTGGAGTCTGTCCAGCTGATCTGCAAAACCACAGTTTGCCTGCCTAAAGATGCTAAAGTGGAGTGGAAGGATGCAAACAACAGGAAGGTCCACATGTATGAGAACGGCTCTGACCAGCCTGAAGAACAGGACGATAAATACAAGAACCGAACAAAGATGAAGAGAAACTTGCTGGAACCTGGAGACCTCAGTCTGACCCTGAAACAGCCCACAGATGGAGACAACTCCAGCTATACCTGCACCGTCTACAGCAGGGAGGGAAACATGCTGATGGAGAAACAAGTGGAGCTGAAAGTCAGAGGTCAGTGCTGTAGATACAAGTCAAATGTCAGAGGTCAGACTGATGATGGTGGTTCAGTCTCAGTGGGCTCCATCCAATAATGTCACAGTGTTAGCATGTCTGATGTTTGTGGCTGTTTTGGTTTTTATTTGATTTCCTCCCAAATGTAAAAGCTTCAGCAGATGAACTGTAGGAGCAAAGTTCATGTGTGAGACTTCATCTGAAAGGTAACATCTTCTAGTTTCTGAACATGTGTTTGTTTAGCATGTGGCTAAAACACAGGCTAAGCTAAGTCAGCTCAAATCTCAGTAAAAACCTTCTTTGGTCCTCATCTATAATCAGTCATATCTGAGTCACAATAACTAGAAGATGATTTCTAGCAGAAGTGTGAACATCTCCACATCCTTTCTCCATGTTATCATCCAAAGCTGTGTGAAGTTTCAGAGCTCTGCAGCTAACAGAGACTTTCAGTTTGCTGCTCTCTTCCTCTGACAGCTCCATTCTTAGGGAGCGTTAGTTCTGTTTCACTTTATTCCACTTATTCAGTCTGATGTTCTCTGATCTCTTTCTCTTGTTTAGTGTCTTAAATGCTGCCAGTGCCTCTCTTTGCTGTAACCAACCTTTCTCTTTATTTCTGAGCTTTTTAAGGACTTTAACTGATGCATCAACCTTTGAAAATGGAAAGAAATCAGTCATATTCATGGCTGCATCACAGTGTCACATGTAGTTCTCCACATCAGCTGGATTATATCTATAGCAGCAAGCAGCTGATGCACAAATCTTTGTCTGTGTTTATAAAGTTGGATCAGTTCAAATAGTTTGTTGCTCTGCACTTGAAAGCAGCTTGTACAGTTTCCTAACTAATACTGTAATTCTGTACATGAGATTTTATTGGCTGTTAGTGAGCCAATCAAGAACATTCAGACCAATCAGGAGACTGTGGGGGAGGGATGTGTAGTTGACCTTTTGGCATTTAACCACGAGCTGTAAACATGGATAAGGTTAGCAGAGAATAATGTCTGTTAGTGAGGTGGATGTAGAGTTTAGCAACGATAGAGTTGGGTGGTCCTCACAGGACAGCCACTACAAACATATGATTTTATAGAATATGATGCATTACTGCAGATTCAACACAATAGAAAGGATTTGAAATGAGCTCAGCCTTAAACATGTGCAGCAGTAATATTGATCCACAGACACTGATGGGAACATTTTTCTGCACAATAAGTACTTTGACTTTTCATACTTTATGTACAATTTGCTAGTACTGCAGTTTTGTGTGTAGTGAGGTGTTTTCATGGTGTTTTCTTGGTGCTTTTACTAAAGGAAGGCTTCTATCAAATTCTTCCAAATGTTGTCAAACTGAGCTGTGTGATGAAGTGAGTGTGACAGAAGCACTCAGACTGTGTTTCTTACTTTGTTGTCCTCTCAGTCCCCCAGGTGGAGGTGGATTCAGGGGTGGAGTCTGTCCAGCTGCCCTTCAAAACCACACTTCACCTGCCTGAAGACGCTAAAGTGGAGTGGAAGGACAACAATGATAATAAGGTCCATGTGTTTGAGAACAGCTCTGACCAGCCTGAAAAACAGAGCGAGTTTTATAGAGACAAAACGAAGATGAATCAAAACCTGCTGAAAACTGGAGACCTCAGTCTGACCCTGAAACACCCCTCAGACTATGACAACAGGATGTACACCTGCACCGTCTACAGCAGGGAGGGAAACATCCTGCTGAAGAGAATGGTGCTGAAAGTCCGAGGTCAGTGCTGTAGATACAGGTCAAAATGTGGATTGAAGCTTTTTCTGTTTCTATTTTGATATTTGGTGGATTTTCATGTGCTTATTTAAACTGGACGAAACCAGCTGTGAGTCACTGCAGCAGCTCTGTGCCAACAACCAACCAACACCTGGGTGGAGTCCCAGCTGAAGCTGAGAGATACTCAGAGACAGAAGCAGCTGTATGGAAGCGTTCTACAGGACGGCTGACACAAAGCTGATGTTACTGATGTCTCCTAGATAGATCTCATGGACCAAAGGCTCTCTGTGTCATCTCGGCTCCAGCTGAACCAAACTGAGAGTGAATTTGGGCTTTCAGGGAGGGGTGAAAGCAGAGCGCTGTAAAGGAAAGGGCTGTGATTGGTTCAGAACACGTCAATGAGAAGAAAGGAAAGCTTCAGAGCAACATGAATGAAACAAAGTGTTTTGATGACGACTGAAAGCCAAAACTGTCCCTGAAATCAGAGTTCAGGGGCACAGCCAGAAGACAGAGAACCGTGGAAATAGTGGTCAACAGGTACTTGATGGAGTGTTTCCTGCTTGCTGGACTCCATATCATATGTTAGCAGAGAGTGTCTGGCTCTTGATTGGTTGAAGTGGAGAACATCTGCTGCAGAAAGATGCCTCCTGGTCCATGGTGGACATAGATGTTTTCTTTCACCCCTTTCTCAAACCGACCGCCCTCTCTGTCCAGAATGTGAACCTTTGCATCCTCAAAAGTGTGATCTTTGTCCTTGAGATTCAGATGTACAGCTCAGTCTTGTCCTGTCGAGGTGGCTCTTTTATGTTTTCCAATTTAGACGTCTGAACATTTCTGGCTGTTAGCACGAATGCTCAAAGCAAATCTGGGACTGTCCAACAATTGCTCTTAGAACTGTAGAAGCTTCTCGGATGAGAGGTGAAATGTCTTCAAGAAACTTAAAGAAGTCCAGAAGCTTTTCTTTCAAAGTTCCTTAGGCTTTTTGGAATATGCTTTGTGCCCACGTGGATAAGGATGGTGTCGGCCTCTGCACAGGATCGTATTCTGCCCAGAAACTTTTCTAAAATGTTGCAGAGTATGGGCAAAAACAGAGTGCATGTGTTCTGGAATAGCAGTGTTATGACTAGTTTCTTAGCAGTCAACAAGATGGTGTATTGGTCAGAATACAGGAAGGAGGACAAGAGGGTTCCACTTTGCTTAACTGTTGAAGTCAGCTGGTTTTTTGTCACCTTAACTCATTCACTGCCAGCCATTTTCAAACGTATGCTTTCAATTGACGTCTATAGACGTCAATGGCAGTGAATGAGTTAATAGACAGTGTTGCAAATAAGCTGCCATTAGGGCAACTATATTACAGCAACAGTGGTTAAGCTAACATAAACTCAAAGGTGTCTTATAAAGAATATTTAAACATCCATCTTTGCATATACATATCAACAACATAATGAACAATAACTGATGTACTGCATTCATTGTCAATCACTTGAAAATGATCCCCAACATTTCTCGTGCTGTCTTCCTTGGGAGTTCGCCTTGTAATCGGAAGGTTTCCGGTTCGAGCCCCGGCTTGGACAGTCCCGGTCGTTGTGTCCTTGGGCAAGAGCTGTTTCTCTGCCTGAAGGAGGCGCCACTCCATCGCTTCATTTAGTGCAGAACAAGAGTCACATGATGCTGCTCTGAACACCAATCACACTTTGTACAGCTCATGTTGTGTTTGTTGTCCTCTCAGTGTGTCAGGTGGAGGTGGAGGAGGGGGCGGAGTCTGTCCAGCTGCCCTTCAGAACCACACAAAACCTGCCTGAAGATGCTACAGTAGAGTGGGTACGCTATGACCCTGAACCAGTAATAGATGTCCACGTGTATCAGAACGGCTCTGACCGTCCAACAAAACAGAACAAGGATTACAGAGGCCGAACAAAGATGAATGAACACCTGCTGAAAACTGGAGACCTCAGTCTGACCCTGAAACAGCCCACAGATGGAGACAGTGGGAGATACATCTGTGGAGTTCAGAGCAAGAACATCTGGATAAGATTCAAAACAGTGCAGTTCAAAGTTAAAGGTTTGTGTGTGCGTGCGTGCGTGCGTGCGCGTGCGTGCGTGTGTGTGTGTGTGTGTGTCTGTGTGTCTCTGACTGTGTTGTGTCTCCTCTGCAGGGAGAGTTCAGGTCCAGGATCAAACAGGGGACATCAGGAACAGAAGCAGCTCCATTGATCCGACTCCTCTGATGGCTGATCAATCAGTTTGATCTGTGTGTTCTTTGATTATTGATCAGTGATGTCAGAGTGGAGTCAGTGTGATGTTGTTGTTGTGTGTTTGAGACTTTTAGTGTCCATGAAGGTCTCTGCTGCCGTAGATCCTCTGAACTGTGACAGAGGTCTCACTCTGGAGGAAACTCTCAGCACTTTCCAGCAGCTCCTCCATCATGGAGGACGTTCCCTCACTGTAACAGGTGGAGGAGAGAGGAGAGGAAGCACAGGTGGATCCTCTGAGGAAGAGGAGCGTCCTACAAACCACTTGATCACATGACCAGAGGGGCGTGGCCTTCAGTGGTAGTAATAAAGGAACAGTGCACATATTCCACTTTGAAGACTCATCTCCAACAAAGCAGACCTGTGATCACTTTGACTCAGTATGATGGATTGTTTGGATTTGTCTTTCTTTCTCTGGCTTTTCTTGTGTGTCTTTGTATGTTGGATAGAGTCATGTGACCTGCCCAGGGACGACACATGGAAATGAGCAGTTTAGCTCAAATCTGGCAGGTTTCCATCTTCTGTTTTTATCCTGATGTCCCTGAACATGAACACTGTCCCTGTCAAATACATCCAGATACAAAGATCAGATCTACTGAGCATCATCAGCGTGTCAGCTGCTAACTGCATTGTGTATTTTTATACTGATGTACATCTCCTACACTGAAGTACTCTGTTATAAACTTGGTGCTCAGTGACTGAATCTCATCATCATAAACTAAAATTCATATGAATCTCTGCTACACTTAATGCAACATAAATCTGACCATGAGGCCACAGACACTCTGCACCGCAGTCACACACTGCTCTGTACTGTGAATGCACCACATTAATTCAGACAGTTTATCCTGCACAAAAGTACCCAGTATTTTCATGCAACATTCAAACAACAAACACAAAACACACAAAAAAAAAACAAAAAAAACAAACAAAAAAAACAAAAACCACAAAGTAAGTATAACTCAATTTGTTTTGCAGGACGTTACATTATATGAAAAATACATAATTTAACACAACACAGAGAGTCACCACCATCTCTAAGCAACTTATCAAAGACATTACATTCATGCACATTAAATACATGCTGTGGGTCAAATGTTTTTCCATGTTTGAGATGTTTCCATGTTTGTTGTGATTAGGGATTGCTTAGGTTTTAAACGGTGCTCAAACCGGTGCTTAAAGAATGGAGAACACAAAATTGGTCCAAAAACCTCTCATGTTCAGCTGTTTTTTTGTAAAAAGATAACAATGTTAGCCTTTTCTGCAGCTATGGGGCATATATGGTATCACTCTGGGCTGGAAGCAGAGCTTAATCAATGGAAAAAATACAAACTTTGTCCTAAAACCTCTCATGTTCAGCTGTTTTCCTCTTTTTTTTTGCCTTCTTGGCCAGGGTAAAGGGAGTATCTGCCATCAAACAAGAAGACAGCTGCATGTAACTACGACGGTGTTTGCTAGTTCACCTTACATGCATTAATGTAATAACGTGGTTAGCCTAGTCAACGTAAATTACACATGAACAACATTAAGATACTCATGCAGAGAAGAACGGCTGCTGCTGCCATCATCATCCGTCATCATTTCTGCTACACTGGCAGGGCTAGGGGCCAGGACTCTCCTCTTCGAGTTTTTGGGGGATGTTGCTAACTCCAGGTCCAATAACAGGCACCACACCCGCAGTAGATGTGCTCTGTGTGAGGTCTCGCAGCAAGCTATCAAATACGGCGCATTTTTCGGCTTTTAAAAAAACGCTATGCGTCGCCAGGTGTTTCATCAGATTTGAGGTGTTACCTCCTTTGACAGTATCACAGTATCAGCTTAAAGCAATTGTTGCTGCTGAGTTTGCATATTTTGCTGTGAAGTACAGCCAGACTTTTGACCGCTTCGCCTTGGGCATTTTTAATCTGTAGCTCTGCTTTAAAAGAATGTACGTACCTGTAATGTGCGCTGCTTTTTGGTCTGGTTACTACCGTTTATGTCAGATACCGGTACCCATCCCTAGTTGTGATCAGTGTTTACTCAAAAAAGTAAAGTAAAAAAGTTATGACACATATTACACAGAAGACTTTTCTTGAAAGTAATGCAGTACGTTACTTAAAAGGAGATTTTTGTGTCAAGGCTGAAATGGATCAGTGTCACACTGGAAAAACACCAGGCGAGGCTTTTCTGCAGCCAGGTGAGCCAGATGAACAGGTTAAGTAGATGTGTGGTGGGCGTGGCTTTTTTAAAAGGAAAAACTAAAATAAATATGTTTTCATTGGGGTTATTCCTTGTGACTAATACTAATTAGTATAATAAACGTATGTCTTTACTTTAGAAGTACAGATACTAGTGTTAAAAATACTCCAGTAAAAGTTGAAGTACTGATTCAACTTCTTTACTCGAGTAAAAGTAAAAAAGTAGAGGCTCTGAAATACTCAAAGAAAGAAAGTAAAAGTAGCTCTTTGGAGGACATTTGTGCAAAGCTAACCGAACCTTGTGCTTTATTAACATAATGATAAGACAAGTAGATGGAAATACAAAGATTTATTTCAGTCTAAAATTGAATTGTAACCAATCAGTTAAGCTTGAATCAGTTAAGTATGAGCATGAGCAGGAAAAGTAAGGAAAATAAAACAAAATAAATAAATAAATAAAAAAAAAACATCTCTATTTCCTACATTGTAGAGGGTGACTTTGCCTCTAAACAATAAATGTGTGCCGTCAGGTAATGTGGATTCAGCAGGTGGGGGAACCTAAAATTAGCTGTAATGTCTCAGTGGAAAAGAATTTAAACTCACAATAATTTCTATTGAGAGCTTCAGTAGATTTTCTTAGTGTTCATGAGTTGTTCTGTCTGTTTACTGGCTGTACACCGTTTATGCTGTCTGTTTTCTAGATGGTATAAAGTTGCTATGAAGGGCGAATTCAGTCAGGGAATCATCATCAGCTAACGTTCATATCAATCTCTAACTGTGACCATTAATTCATAGCCACTCTGCACTAGTCACACACTGTTTTTACTCTAAATCCTGTGATGGATTTACATCACAGTAAACACGAGTAAACTAACCTGTTTATCCTGCCCTAGCCTGCAGAGGATTTTACATGTAGTCTTTAAATAACCCAGTTAGCAGCAGGTTTCACAATGTGGAAAAACATGATGTCATATGTACAGATCCAATATTTGATTAGAGAACATGAGGACTTAGATGTAAGCTTTAAATAAGCATCCTTCCATTTAAATTTAAGCTCTCTTCTTCCTCTCCTGTCCTCTTTCATGTTCTTTTCACTCACTGATAGAACATTAAATACACTCATGAGTCACCTGATACACACCTGTGTTTGTGTAGTTTTGAGACTCTTCGCTTTGTCAGTTTTCCTCATAGTTTCACACCTGCATGAAGCAGCCTCACCCTGACAGCTCAACCTTCAAATCACTGTGTCAGCTGATCACTTCCTGTCCTGTGATTGGCTGAGCTTCAGGCCTTCTCTCAGTCAAACTGGAAACAGGGATTGAGACAGTGTGAGGGTTTGTGGAGTGCCACAGTGCTGTAATGAATACTGTAGTGGAAGAAGTTCTTTCACACTCTTCATCCTGGAGCTGCTTTATGTCCATGATCTGCATGGAAACACATCTATGGAGAGGAAATCCAGCTGCTGAGGGTCACATCTGCATCATTGTAGCTACAGTGGATGTTTCAGCGTCAGGACTGAAGGCGGAGCTTTGTGCGTGTCAGGGTGAGGCCGCAGCAGCCGCCTCCAACCGCAGCGCTCGGGCGTGAAACTAGAAGAAAGGAAGTGATCTGTGGCCGGCCGGACTTCATTCCACAGATGTGCTTTAACAAAGTGTGAAGCTGAACTCTGAGCTGTGACAGTGAAGCAGTGTGAGAGTGTCAGTAGATGATCAGCAGAGGAAAGTGAAGCTGCTGTGAGCTGATGTCCTGAAGGGCTTTTAAAGAGTCTCTGAGTTTGACAGGAACATGAAGATGTTTGTGGTGTTTGTGATCCTCCTGCACGGTAAGTACACCTTCCTCTCTCTGCTCTCATCATCAGCTTTTCTTTCATCTCTCTCTCTTTAATGTGTTGAAGTGCATGGCAATGTAAAACAGGAAACACACGACACTGAACTAAACCTACAGTAAACACAAGGGCACTTTTGGTGGTACTGTGTATTATTTCACACAGTCTGGGGTTACTTCAATACAACAGAGATGATCTACTAACATCCAGACTGGCCAACAGCCTGTATCCACAGGCTGTGAGGCTCCTGAACTCTCTGCCCCCCTCTCACGGACAATAACCATATCCAACTTCTTAATAGCAATGAACTGGTCTGCATTGGTGCATCATATCTTTATTCTCTTCCCCCTCCTGCCCCCCCCTCTTTCTTAAATAGATAACTATCATATCTGATATCATATCTCACAGTACAATAATATTGAATGGGTTGCATTGTTGTATTTTGTCATGTTTCTCAGGTCTTTGTCTGAATTTCTACGAACATTATTGCTAAGGATTGTCTTATTGCATTGGAGTCACACTGGGTTAAATATGTACACTTGGGTTTTAAGGGGTATTTATTATTTTCTTCTTTTTTTGGGGTTGTATGGAAGCCCCAAACGCAATTTCATTGTTCTTGACAATGACAATAAATAAATAAATACTAAATACTAAATACTAAAAGAACAAAACCTAAGAACTAAGTTACTACTGATAATCAGAATTAAGCTGAAACATTGAATAAAGATAATCCGAACAGCACAACTAGAAAAACTGAACATAAATCATGTAAAATAATACAAAACACAAGAAACTGAAAATCCTGGGAGCAGAACCAAAGCAGAAGACCGACCCGGGGTGGCAAGTCAGTGGCAATGACAGAGCAGATCAGGAGCCCCACCGCAGGTCAAGTGGCACTGGCCACATAGGTGAGAAGGCCATCCATGACGGCAAAGATCCTTAGCTAATGGCTGGAAAAGTGGCCGGCGATGGTGTGCCGTGTTTGGACGAGCAGGCCATGCTGGATGTGGACGTGGGCAAGCAGGCCGTGCTAGATTTGGACGAGACGGCGGTGTGAGAGCCGCGGGACCAGACGAGGCAGGAAAAGACGGTGGTGGACCAGGCAAGGCAGGACCAGACGAAGGTGGAGCAGCCTCGGGCAGCTGAAAGGCCGGGGACATGGCTGCTGCAGGTAGTGGAAGTGGTGGCGCTGATGGCGGCGCTGATGGCTGGACAGGCTCAGAGCCTCCAAAGGAGACAGGTGGCTGAAGCAACCCCTTGGGACCTCCAGTGGAGACAGAAGATCGTTGGACGGACCAGTTGGGCCCTGGTGTGTGTAGCAAAAAGTGCTGCAAAAGTTGGTGAAGCACACTCGGTAACCAGGAGAGACCAGAATCCAGGCATTGTAGCCATTTATCTACAGCTCACTAAAACTCCTTTTCAGAATGATCCAGCCACAGGTCAGATAACTTATTCACAGAGTAAATAATATCCTCCTGGAGCTCCTCAGACGGCAAGAGTGCTGCTGGGTCGCTTGTTTGGTTTGGTCGTTCTGTCATGACGTGCTGTGCGGCAGGGAGGATTAGACCCAAATGCAGGATCTCAAAAATGTGACTTAAACCCATAATGTAGCTTGTATTGTGGGAAAAACTCTTCATGAAAATAAAGACTTACTAAAACCAACCAAAACCTCACACTTGAAACTAGAAATTAAACATTAGCCAACTAACAGGAGCACGAAACAAACATACAGCATAGCGACAACATGACGCGATCCAGGGAAAGGAAAACATGGGGATTAAATACACAGTGGAGTAATCAGGGAATTTGAGACAGGAGGAAAATACAAGTGGGAGAAATTAGACGTAACAAGACAAGAGTTATTTTCCACTTTAATGTCTGTCTCCACTGTTCAGCCACAGATCTATAATACATGGTCCAGATGTTAGATGTGCTTTGACATCTGGACCACCAAACACCTGTCAGATCTGTAACTGAGTCATAAATGGGAAGATTAGGTTCCTGGGCTGTAATAGAAATCATTGTGTAGAGACTATTGTGGTGCTGTGGGCGGAGCCTGAATACTGTTAGCTGGTTTCAGTTGTGCATGTGTCAGAAAGATATTTTCTTTAAACAAACCTTGATCCGCGCCTGACACACTGTCATGGTTTTTGTTATTTATGGTTGTAATCCTGAGCTTTTGGAGACGAACAGTTACAGGATAGAGACAAAGTTTTTGTTTGCGGGTTTGACCCACCAGTTACCAACAAATGCTGAGAACATCTCGCCCTGTCTTTCCAAATAAGTCACCAAATACATAAGAACTACAACAAGCAACTATCACATGGTGTACACAGTAGTTAGGAACAGAACGTAGGAGGTAATGTTCTTTGTTGGGTTGTTGTTAGAACTTCTCA